AATGGCTTCTATTCCACCTGAAAAGATGTTTTAATGTAATATTGAATACCACTTCTAAAATCCTACAGAAAGTTAAACCAAAAATTTCAGTAATTCACATTTCTGCAGCTGAGTATGTTCTAAGCCATGTCTATTTGGAAAGAAGCGTAGTAAATCACAATAACAGCAGTACGAAGCCCAGTGTTAACACAATAGCCAAAGTACCAGAAGAAATGCAATCTCAGCTCATTCCGTTGTTGTGCCTCACACGGATCAGTTCACCAAATTGTTTCTCAAATGGCTGAACAACAAACACTTCTGAAGTTAGAAGTATGATGAAGATACACAATTATGTATCAGATTAGATTTTCTTCTTTTCCCTTTTCATAATGGAAATTCTTTATTCTCACTAAACTGACATTTCACACTTGAATTTTAGGACCCTCACTGGAGTAACTTCATGTATTTGAATCTGGAAACACACTTACCTTATTGTACCTCAACACATTTTGGTCATATGCAAAATAAAAGTTTTAATAATATTAAATCTGTTATATTAAGTGAAAAGCATTTTCATCTCTCAACTTGTCATATGTATGTTTTTTGTATGTTTGTATGTTTTCCTACTTTGTGAAACTTTCACCATTATCAGACCTACAGTACACGCTGTACCGAATTCTGATCCCAAGATTCAGCCTGGAAAGTTGGATTAAAAATTAGAAATCCCTGCAGAGTTAGGAGAAAAAAGGAACTTTTTTACATCTGCCATCAATTTCGCAGCCCAAAGGGTCTCCATATTTTGCATTTCACTCTGTTTTCAAAGAGGATTTTCCATTAGTGGTTGGCATTTTTAAAAATATTTGGCATGTTGTGCCATTTTACATTCTTAGGCTATGGAAAAGAACAACTGCTTAGCCCTGCATTTTTCCTTATTCACAGTATTTCACTACTTACACAGTGCACCACACTGTCATCACAAAATTACCTATTCATAACACAAGTCAGATAAACTTTATCAGAAAGTTTGGCTGAAGTCATTGTCAGCCTTCCTACTTTGTAGGTGTAGCTCATCTTTAATTCCTTCACTTTCCTCCATGGTGCCTCTCCATAGAGAGAGTGTGAAAACTCCTTGGAAACCCAACTTTCTGCCAGGTAGTTTGCCAAATGCAGGCCTCTGAAAAGTTCACACTCTGTCAGTTAAATGTTATCTACCCTGTATGGTTGAGCTTATTCCCTGATACCATTATCTGCACTGAGCTGTTACCCTCAGCTTAAAGAACATACAAAAATTAGACAAATCTGCTATACAATCATTTCATCAATTTTGCAATAGGGTCCCAGGTATTTAAACAAGCCAAGAGTGAGCTTCTGACCCACCTGCTGTAATACCATGCATTTATATTGGTCTCAAACTCTTCAGGTTTGAGCAATTACTCTTCATTAGATGTCAACAATATCAATAAAGTGCACGCATAAATATGAACAAAAATGAGAAGTGGGACCTCATATAGGAAACGCATCATTTGGAATTATTTCAGGATTTAGGTAATTTTAATTTTTCATTAGTAAAACTACTGCAAATGAGATGCTTTCAACAAGACAGGACTGCAAGCCACCAAGAAACCATGCTTGAACTGTGTAACTCCAGAATCCCAAAACTGCACACACTAGGTTCCTGTTGAGGACAGAAATTTTACACAGTGTTACACAAGCACCTTGATCATGGTTATCCTGCATGGGCTTTCTACGAAACTCTTTTTTTTCTTCATTTAAAAGTTATACATTTTATGCTGGTCTTTTACAAAGAACTGATTAACTAGTCTCTTGATTCACTTCATGTGAAATCAAATTACAAGGCTTTTTTAAATGCTTTAAAGATCTTTCAGTATAATGAAACCCTCTCCTCAATTCCAGCAGTAACTATTTTCCGTATCTGCTATACTACCATTTCCCCCCCAAAAGACTTCCATTTTTGTTTAAGCTACCCCAAGATTCTGCTTACAGTAAAATACGTTTATTGTATTAACACCTTCCTTTACTTTCGTATATGGGCACATATGGGGAGCCAAGAGTCCAAAAGACAAGAAAATATCTACCAAATCATGTAACAATTCATTGTCAACAAACATTCTGTAAGTCTAAATTTACAGTTTCATTTTTGTGATCTTCATACAGTTCTAATCCCCAATAAGGTGTGTATCTACTAGTTACATCCAAATGTACTATTAAAACACACTTAGTATACACACATTTCAGAGTTCACCTATATAGTTTTAAATTATCACTCAGTCTAAGCATTTTATATAAGCGCTGGTTTTATTTCAGAAATATTAGAGATGGATAATGGGAGTTTTCTGGATAATTCAGTGGTCTGTTTTATCCCAAAGAAAGTATTTAACTAGTGCAGTATTTTCCACACACAGGGGGAAGAGTAAAATGGTGTATGAATATGACAACTTCTGTGAAAAAAAAAAATATATATATAGGCTACTAGATTTGAAACAGTCAACATATCTGAGATTACAGAAATAATTAAAATAAACAGAAACCAGACATATTCCTACAAATTCAATACCACTATATTGTGCACCCGGTTAACTATCCCCTTTAAAACTCATGACATACAAAAAAAATCTTGAAATGTAGAAAATTCCAGTGATGTTTTAAGTTCTCATAGAGATCAGTATCTTATGGAAAATGTCTGAAAAGTAGAGTTTTGATTGTGAAGTTACACATACAGTTTTACATCTTATTTTCAAGAACTATTATTAAAAATATTATTATAAAAAAGATGACATTTATAGTAGTACTAAAAATTTAAAAAGGTAAATAATTAATTTCCAATTAAAAAATATGGAGGACATTTTACATAAGAAAAATGTTCCAGATTTATACAATTGCCACTATGAATTTTAAATGCTATTTTTTTATTTTCAATAGTTTCTTCTTACAGAAAAGTAATTTGTCAGAGTACTTACTCTGACAGTAATTTTATTTCTCATAAGAAATAAAAGTCATTTAAATCTATATTAAATCAAATTATCTATCCATAAATGGGATTATTTTAATGCCACTAATTATATCCTATGCTTCCACTAAAATAAGAAATCCATCTCTTTAAGGAACTCTCTGTAAACTTGCACTTTCTAGACAAAAGCAGGTAACTGTACTTGTTCATCTTGCTCATGCCCACATTGCTCATTTCTTCCCATTACACCCGATAACCTCTATTTTTTCACATCATAGTCAGGTTTCTGAGGTAGCTGTCCATTCTTTGCACATACTTACTAAAAGAAACAAACACGCTTCCTCACCATACTCAGTCTTTGGAATCATTTGAAAAATGGAAGTACGAAGTTGCTTTGTAAAATGTAAGCCTTGTGTTTGTGTAGCAATGTTGATGCCTTGTTTCTCCACATGTCTATATTCTTAATCTGGAAAGATTCTGCAAACATGGGTTTGATTAAATAATCAGTGAAAACAACTTTAGGATGTTTCTACCAGCAATTTATATGCCTGCTTAACATTCATCATTAAAATAGGTAAGCTGAACAATAATAAAGTATGTTTTTGAGCAGGTTCACCTACGGCACAAACACAACTGGATACTGGTTTAGGAAAGAGATGAAATTCAAGAGTGACAGGATCAAATTCAAATAAAAAAGTAAAATATTACTGCGTAGGTGAAAAGTGAATAATGAAACATTTTAAAATATGGAGCTCATAAATTACGATATACTCATTCTTAAAACTTGAGCTCCATGACTTCATGGAAGTATGTGGCTGATTTCCCAAAACATAGCAAAAATATGTGAAGCCAAAACAAGAGCCCAGTTAGCACAGTGAAATTTCACTGTATTCCCATAATGGACTTAAAGAGATGAGTGTTTTCCTCGCAGTCGAACATGCACATTTCTAATGACTTTCTCCTAAATCTCATTAAATGTATTACAGAAAATGCAGCACCAGCTCTAAAGTCCACCCAGCCACCTAGTCTAGCATTACCACGTTGTAAATATCTACTACGCTGAGAAGAACATGAGCATATGCTTAAAAAGTAACAGCACACTGAAACGAAAATTCTAATTGCATAATTCTGCTAACCTTTTAATTTTCTAATATTCCCCTCTTCACCTGAAGGCCAATAAAGTCCATAAAGTTCAGCTTTATGGAGTAAACTGTATGTCACAATAAGAAAATACACAATGCAATTTTTTTTATTATTTTAAGGAATCCTATACATTGTAACAAGGATTTTTTCATAAGGATAAGGAGCAGAAAATTTGAATATCCTCATTTTGACAGGATCAGATAATAACCAGAAAAGGAGACAAAGCATAAAATGTAGCAGAATTTGTTTTACTGCTTCATCAGTTGAACTGTATAAAGCAGTCTGCTCTTGTGTTCATATTTAAAATCTCATTGGACAAGACATAAAATAAAATCCAGAAAAAATAAATAAACATACATATTGCTACTGATTTATTAAACCTGCAGCTTGACTTTGTAATTTAAAAGATATTTGGAACAAAAGTCAAACCCATTTATTATTATTATGTCTTGAAATAGTTCAGTGGAACTTGAAAAACTTCCATAATTCTCAGGAAGCCAAATTTTGTATCCTGCAAGCAAGAATAATTCCAAGACTTCAAAAAGAGAATAAAGCCAAAATAAATTCTTATTTGCCTATGTCTAGTTAAGACCCACAACATTTTCCTTTGAGTAGCATTTACACTTTTTAAAACAAGCTGTGTAATACACAAGATTTTTATGCAAGTCCGTTTACTTGGAAAGATACTATATAATAAATTGAAAATAAATAAAAGAATTAATACTAGCAAAATCAATTATGAAAGAATTTAGTCAGCATTTACTGTTAATATTTAAACAGTCACCAAAGCAACAGGCATGACTTACAGTGATAATATTTTTAAAGATCAGCAATAAATAACCAGTCTGTCCTTAGCAGTAGCTAGAAAGATATATCTCAGATAATTAGGAACAATGGCATCATGTAGTACCTTCCATTGCCCTTTTAAAGAAGACTTTACAACTCCCACAGGTGAGTACTCCATAGTGGCAACCAGAAGCCTCATCACCGCAGATGAGACAAATCTTCTGGGGTAGCGATTCAAAGCCGTATTGAGAACTTTGGCTGGTTTCTGTATCTGGCCTTCAAAAGAAAAGATTTAAGAGAAATTAAATATGTAGTTTTGCAGCAGTTAACTCCTTACCTTTATTGATCAGTTCTGCATTAAAAACTCTCCTATTTGTGATCAAGCTACAGAGGGACAAGGAAAAAACCTACAACTGCCTTTCTGTTTAAGAGTTTGTCTCTACCAGGGTGAAAGGGACATCTGTAACATTCGGCTAGTCATTAAACAGGGAAGTGATAGGCAAAAAGGACAGTTATTTTATTCATTTATTTATTTTAGCTTAAAAGGTACAATTTAGAAACTATCTGTTAAGATGTTCATCTTCCTCAGATAACAGCTCTTGTGAATGAAGTCAAACTAACACTTTTTTCCTGTACATAGAGTAGTGCAGAGACATAATCAGAAGTCAAATGAAATCCAAAAGCCTCTTTCACATGGGGCATGACTCAGTTTCACCGCAGTTAGAAAAATCTTTATTAATCAATTTGTTACCTCCCATTCAGCTGCAGCATTCTCATCAGTAGCTAACTAATGAGCACATCAACCGTATTTCCCAATTTCTCTCAAAGAAACGAAACAGATTAGCCTAATTAGCCATTACGTTTACAAAAATAAAGGATTTCAGTTGAAACTGTAGTATTACATATGCATATTTTTGCATGTTTCTAGGTAATGCACATCATCTTGGCACTACAGTACGCTGTTTTGTTCTAACAGATCAATGTACAAGTGTTTACATCTTTTTCTTTTTTTTTTTTGGGGGGGGGGATGAAATTAGCTGGATTGTTTTGTAATTTTTTTCCCCAAGCTGGGAACAGTATTTTTGAGATATTACCATAGTTCTAAACACTGTCTCGCTATCAGCAAGGAGTGACTGAAGAACATACTTCTCCCTCTCCCTAGAGGCGGTCGTTTGCTCAGACTTCGGATGGCACTGAACCATCACAGCGACAAAAACGCAGTTTCTCTCGGACCGTTATGATGCTAAAAAGATCTGGGAGGTGCCGCCCGCAAAGTTAACACTGTGCTGGTTTCACACAGACCGGGCAGAAAACGGAAACGCGGCTGCAGTTACCGCCTAAAAACCCGAATGGCGGTCCGCCGGGCACGACTTGGCTCAGCACCTTCCAGGCGCCGCCCGGGGTGACAGCCCCTCTCCCCGCGGCTCAGCTCCTCCGGGTGTCGGCCCCTCTCACCCTGGTACAACCACCCAGGGGTGCCGGTCCCTTTCCCCGCGGCAGGGCCACCCTCCCTTGGTGAGGGTGCGAAGCTCTCCCGCCGGCAATCCGACGCCGCCGCCCACCCCATCGGAGAGGGAACCCCCGCTAAAGGGCCCACCGTCCCTTGCCGCCCCCCTTACCGGACGTAGCCGAGATAGGGCGGGCACAGCTGGGGCAAGCCCTCCTTCAGCACCGCCGCCGGGAACCCCAGGGGCTGGTGCCCGTTGAGACCCAGGGGCGGGTAGAGGCCCGGCGGCGCGGCCGAGGTGGAAGGCAGGCTGTCGGGCGGCGCTACCACCGCCGGCGGCCCGTAGGGCCCGGCGAGGAGGGTGGGCTCCGTCTTGTAAAGGACGCACTCCAGCGACGGCTCCGGCCCGGCCCGCGGGGACTGCGGGAAGTCAGCGCAGCCCGGGGCTGGGGTAGCCCTGCCGCCCGGGTAAGGGGTGGGGAGGCCGAGCCCCTCCTCCTTGATCTTCAGAGCCGGCTGGAAGTCGCCGTATGCGAAGTGCCCGTCCTTGCCGTCGGGCGGCGGGTAACTGTATCCCGGCAGATCCACGGCGGGCAGCGGCGAGCGCGGCACCGCGGCGGCGCCGTCGAACTCCGCCACGTCCAGCAGCTGCCGCGTGCGCGAGGCCAGATAGGCCGAGTTGAGCGGCAGTAGAGGTACGTGCAGGTACTCCTGACCCGCGTCCCCACCTCGCGCATCGCCCTTAGGAGCCGCACCGGGGCCCTCCGCACCGCCCCCCGGGCCCGATGGACGCGGTTTTGCGGCGGCCGTCAGCGGTTCGTCGGCAGGCCAGAGAGGGACGGGCCGCGGAGGGGGTTGCGAGGGGGCAGGCGGTCCTGGGGCGGCTTCGCCCGCTTTCTGCGAGGGGCAGCGGTTCATGGCGTCGTCGGGTGCCTCCGCCGCCTCAGCCCCGAAGAATGACCAGGGCGCCGAGGGCACGGCGGAGCTGGCATCAGCTGTGGGCACCAGGAAGGTGTCCAGAACCGTGTCCGAGAGAGAACCGCTCGCCGGACGGTAGGAGAGGGAGTCCCGGTCCTGCTCCTCGTCCGGCTGCTGTTGCTGCTGCTGCCCCGGCTCGTCCTCTTCCTCCTCCTCCTCTTCTTCCTCGTCGCTGTTCTTGGGGTAGATCAGTCCGTCTAGGGAGATGTCGATGGCCTCCGCTTCCCTGCGGAAGGAGTCTCGGCCGGGCTGGCCCTGCAGCAGGACCGCCCCGTCTCTGGCCGGCGGCGGTGGCCGGGGTTCCTTGGCTTTAACCTCGGTCATGCTGGCCCGGGGCAGGGCTGGACGCCGGCGTGACTCCTGCCCCAGGGGCGGCCGCGCGGCTGTTCACATCCCGGACGTACCGGCGGAGGCGGCGCGGGTCCCTCTCACATGGCTCTGCCTTCTGGGGGAAGGCTCAGCCGCCGGGAGGGGAGTGAAACGGCACCGGGGGCGGTGCAGCCTGGGGGGCAAACAACCGGAGCGTGTGCGGGCGGGGCGGCGGGCGGGAGCGCGGGGTGCTCCGCTGCCCTGCCGGCGGCCGGAGATGCCGCTCGCTGTCCCCCGCCTCTGCTCTTCCCTCTTCTGCCTCCCGTCGTCCGCGCAGCCCGCCGGCTCCACGCCCCTTTGCCTGTCCCGCCCCGCCGCAGGCCGCTGCCCGCCGCTGCCCTTACCAGGGGGTACGCTGCCGCTCCTGGGTGCGGCGTGCCCCTCGCTGCTCCGCTCTCCGATCACTGCTGCACTTGCCTCCGTGGGACAGCCGGTCCCGGGCTCTGCGTCTCCCCGGCAGCGTTTCCACCGGTTCCTCCTCGGCTTCGCCTGTCCCGGCCAGTCCTTCCCATCACTCGCCGTCTCCACATCTCACTCCCATCGCGTCTGAGTCCCTGTGCCTCAGGGGCACCTGGTCCGTTTTTCTGTTTCCTCGTCCCTTTCCTCTTGTCTTGTGCGGGTGCGCTGTCCTCAGCCTTCACCATCCCGAGAGGTGCATGTCTGGGTTGGGCACGGGCTTCAAGCAGGTTGAGTGTGTCGTTGTTTCGGAGAGCAGAGAGCAAAGCAAGCTTTCCTTCTGTGTAGTGATGATAGCTTTCCTTATGACTTGTTTTTCATTGCCACCTTCAGACATTCACTAGTTTTTCAGGATTAAGGCCCTCTGATATAGCATCCATTTTCCAGGACCAAAGAAACCAAGGCATTGTAAAACACTTTCAAATTACATTCAGGGACCTCCAAGTATTCTCTATGCCAAGAAAGCACATTTTGTTGTTTTGGTTTTTTTTTTTTTTCTCCCCACAAAAGAAGGGGAAAAAAAGGCATTCTTTGCTTCCAGTATTTTCCTTTAATTACTTTGTCATTTAAAATGGAACTGATTTACAATGGCTGGCTGGCCAGCCTGCATATAGCAAGTTACAATCCAGCCCAAGTTAGTTCTGACCAAGAAGCTGTCACCACCTAATTGCTGCCTGCCGTTCTGTGTAAAATGCTGGCAGAACCCATTCAGCTCAGTAAGATAATTACTAATTGGAAAAAAAAAAACAATTCTGGCTATAATATGTGTTATATAGCAGTCTTAGGAAAGAAACTCATATTGAAAGATCAAAGAACGACTTAATGTAGGAGTAGTCCTCTTGACTTTGAATAGAATCAGTGTATTTTTGAGTCACAGAGAAATGCATGCTGTTACATGCTTGTTTATGCTCTGTAAATATAACATGCTGCTCAGAAAACACATGTTTTTTCAAACACTCTGATCACCACAAAATAGTTGCTTTTGTTATTTTACTGTCAAGAAAAAATTCAGACTGAAAAGGACAGGTTCTCGGAGAGAAAAACATAACTGGAATTATTTCAGTGTTCTGGAAGCTAACATCAGAAATCATACAGGGCAAGCTGATAGAAGCAGCAGCTTCACATAAACCTTATTCAATGTGGTGTGTACTTTCTGTGTTACTCTTGGCAAAGCACAACTGGCTTGTAGGCTGCTTTGGGAATCTGCCCTTTATTCCATTAAGAAGTAGAAGAAAATACCTTTTTTTTTTTTTTCAACAAATCGTGGTTTTGTGGTAATACCTAACATTTCAAAACTTAGATGTCATGTAGGCACCTCTCTATACAGTCAGGAGGTTCAATGGAATGATGTATATCAAAGAATACTTGTTATGTATAGGAATATTTCGTTAACAGCAGTGGCTTACGCTGCTGATATTGCAGGGGAAAGAACTGCTTGACCAGCAAGTAGCAAGAATTGAAGATGTCTTTATAAAGCTTAGTCGAACTGATGTTAAAAGAATACTTTCAAGAGAAACAAAATGTTTCTCTTAAAACATGACATTAAAACAAATAATTTAAGGGCTTCTCTGGCTACCGAGTTTCTGCTATTTCATGCTACAATCTTTCCCCCTTCTCCCAAGCCTTCCTTTTCTCAGGAGAGACAGAAGTTCATCTCCAGTACTGTTCATCTCTGTGATCCTTTTGGTTTTCCCCTGATGTTTTCATGCTTAGTCAGCTAGAAGTCATGCCTGTTTATTGCCACTCTCTTGCTTTCTCATTTCCACTTCCTCAAATGCACACAGGATTCATGGCCTGCATCTTTAGAGAAAGACTTGTTTCCTTCCAGTTGCTTGACTCCTTACTACTGCTTCAGGACTGGAAGAGGTAGTGAGCTGCAGCTGTCAGGAGCAGGGGGTCCTGAAAGGAAAGCAGCATTGAGTAGTTCCCACAAAACCAACTCAGTACTGGTAATGACTCGCCTGCTGAAACTCCACACTAACAAGGCCCTGTGACTGTAAGTACCTGTAAATTAACGAGAAATATAAATGCTTACTACTTGCATTATTCCTCTAAATGCTAGCAATTTCATATTGTCCAGGTTTTATGTCGTCCTTCCTAGTTTCATTTTTATGACTCATCAAATATGCTCACTTCTTAAATTATAATGATAATTATGCTGAATTGTCATTAAGGAAAAAATTCTAGGTTCTTTATCTTTAGAACATGCATTGGACTTTCGTATATATAGGCTTCACATGAATTCTATGAACTTTCGCTGGAAACTTTTGAAGTTTTCTTCATATTATTCTGTCCATAACCTTCCTGCCTCATCCCTGGAAGTGTTCAAGGCCAGGTTGAATGGGGCTTTGAGCAACCTGGTCCAGTGGAAGGTTTCTGTGCCCATGACAGGGGCTTGGAACTAGATGATCTTTAAGGTACCTTTCAACCCAAACCATTCTACGATTCTGTGATTCATTTATTTTCTTTTTCTATCATATTTTTTCACTTTATTTGAATGCTTTCCCTGATATTGCTATGGTATCGCAAGTTTTTCAATAAAAGCATTTCAAAGTTCACCCTACCAAATTTACTGACATTCTAGTGTTGTTGTCATTTACTCATTTTGATTTATTAATTTTCTGAGTCTAGAAGTCACCGTTACAGAAAAACAGGTATTTTTTTTTTCTGTAACGGTATTTCCTCACCTGATTTTCGTTTACAAGCCATTAAAACTGAAACTGACATTTTCAGTTCCGATCTGAAGATGATGGGCTTTTATATTCAGTGAGCTTTTACTGAATATACACATTTCAAACAGTAAACAGTATGAATAGACTTCTACTTCAGGAGAAACCTATTTTGAACCAAGCGGTAAAACACTGGAGGGTTTGATTGACACTATTATATTTTTTACAATTGAACTAAAACTTGCAAATACAACATTTGAGAGCTGAAATTATTCTCATGTTGTTTTCTTGCTCTGTTCAAAAACTGTGACAAATAAAAGCTGCACTTAACGCAACTTCTCAGCTGTCTTACTTTGCAGCATAATTCCTGTATAAAATGTCAACAAAAATAGCAATAGAGTTATATTGAGAACTCTCACTGTAACGCTTTAATTTGCATTTAATGTTTAAGTAGTTCCTGAGCATTTGTTTGGCCATTCCGACAATAAACTGTATACCTTTAAGCAGTAAACTTTAATTGACCCTTCAAAATATTTCTAATTTTGTGGGTTTAAATAGAAGAAAAAAGGCTGTATGAGAAACAAGTGCACAGCTTGCTCAAACACTGCAATATCAAAATCACAATCCTTTTCTGTGACCACCTTAAAATAATCTTGAAGCATGGCCTGCATGTCCACAAAATCTAAGTTCCATTTCTCAGACTAAAGTGTTCCATTTGTGTGTCAAGAGCGTTCCATATAAACACTGACATAAAATTAGTGATTTAGTGTTTAAACCTGGGAAAGGACAGAATGATTACACTTGAAAATCTGAATTAGTGTTTTAGCCCAATCAGACCTTTCCTGTAGTGAGCCACAACATTGTTCTGCACAGGTTCTTTGAAAACAGGAGCTTAGAAGTTAAAAATAATGTTTGGGGTTGTTGTTTTTTTTTTTTAACATTTAATTAATGCCTGCCAATGTTGTCCTATCATTGTTCAGCATATGATTCAACCAAAACATGATTCACTTTTTAGAAACAAAGAGGAAGAGAGACTATCTGCTTCAAAGAGCTTATGAGCTCAAGGTCAAAAAACCCCAAAGTAAGTAATTTGCACAGAATTATAGCATCATAGAATAGTTAGGCTTGGAAAGGACCTTAAGATCATCTAATTCCACCCCCTCTGCCATGGGCAGGGATGCCTCACACTGGGCCATGTTGCCCAAAGCTCTGTCCAACCTGACCTTGAACACTGTCCCAGATGGAGCATTTACCACTTCTTTGGGCAGCCTGTTCCAGTGCCTCACAGTAAAGAACTTCCTTATATCTAACCTATGGAGAGGCTTTTGCTTCTATCACAGAAATAACATTTTTATAAAAAAATTAAAAAAAAATAGACCTCTGTAGCTGCAATTTGTAGTTCCTGTAGTTCAAAATCCCCTGTGTTTTCAGTATGCCGTGTAGAGGTTAAAAAAATAGTAGTGTCATGCAAATAATGGCACGTTCTTGGTATGTTAACAGTTCTTGGAGGTATGTACTTCTGTGGTCACATCCCTATTCTGGAAATATTTAGGCCCCTAGTTAATATGGTACATTTCATTTACATTAGAAAGCAGATATTAAATATGCACTTCTCAGAAATCATAATTTTGAAGTTATCAGCAAAGTCATGAAAGCACTTAATATGGAAGGTGTCACCCTGGGAACTAGGTGATCTTTAAGTCCCTTCCAACCCAAGCCATTCCATGTTTCTATGATGTGGCCTAATTGTAAGTGTTCACATCTGAGCCAGTTAATAAGGCTTCTGCAGTCAGGTAAGAGCCATGGAATCATAGATTCATCTTCTTGGAGTTCTTCAGAGACACTTAATGACTTCTTATTAAAGGTATAAAAAACTTCCATGATCTGAAGCAGTCCAATTAAGAGCCATAGCGTTTTTTTGGCAGTGCAATGTCTAAGATTGATGCCAAAAGAGGTCTGAATAAAGTCCTCAACCCTTAAAATGCAGTATCAATG